ATCTATCTGAGCCTCCCAGCAGAGCTGCAGGAAAGCCGTGTGCGCCGGGGAGATCTTTCCGACGTTGCCCTGCGCAACGCGTAGCATCCGTGGGGTCGCCGCTCTCGGCTTACGTCTCCGAGTCGAGTTCGAGGTGGGTGTAGGCATTCGCGACGTTGTAGTTTGGCTTCTGTGCTGCCCGTTGGCTCCTGCTTGGCATGGGTAGCACGGGACGGTCGATGGAGGTGTTGTCGGGGGAGTCTTCGCCTTCGCCTTCGTCCGCCTCGTCTTCATCCATGCTGCTGCTGTCAGTGCTTCCGTCACCGAGGCAAACGATCGAGCTTGCGGAGGGCGTTCTCGTGCGCGCGCGCTTGGCGCCGGGTTGCTGGTTCTGGCTGGTGGAGGTAGGGACGCCTGCCGCCTCCTGGCTACTGTCGGATCGAGTAGCCTTGTACAGAGTGTCCGATGCTTTCTGGCCGGCCTTCCGGATCCGAGCCCGCTCCTTTCGACCGGGAAGGGAGACGACGCCGTTTACGACCGAGGGCCTCGCTGGGCAGTCTGTGTGGCCGGCTTGGAAGGGGCCGCAGCAGTTGGGACACTGGGGCCTGGCCATGCAAGGTCCCGTTTCGTGTGAGTCGGAAGGTCTTCCGCAGTTGCTGCAAGTCGGTCGTCGTCCGCAGAACCGGTTGGCGTGGTAGCCCTGGCAGCCGGGGTCATGTCGGATGAGCGTCCTTCGTTTTTTGATGGGCAGAGATCTGCCGCTTTGGTTGAAGAGCCTGAAGGGCGTGACCTCTGATGTGAATGATATGAGCCAAGATATTTCGTTCGTGACTGGGTTGGGCCCAAGGCGGGACGGTCGAGCAAGGACAGGCTTCTGTCCTGTCTGTGCGAAGACCTCATCTTCAACGAGTGTGGCTGGGTCCAGGACGTCCCCGCCAATGCTGTGTAGTTTTGTTGGGCATCGCGGCACAACGTATGTGTGCCACTTGATAGGCGTCTCGACTTGGTGGGCGCCGAGGCATTCCGCCAGCTTTGCCTTACTTGTAAGTAGTCTTTCCTGTATTTGCTTGTTTCGCGGCTTCAGAGAGTAACCTGTGCTGATATGGTAGACGTGGGGAAGGTCCGCTAGCCCCAGGCCAACGGCCTTACAGACGATCTGTCGTACGGCGAACGGTGCGATCTTCCGAGCGGCCGCTAAGCTTTCTTCCGGGACGCGGGCAAAGATGCGGAGGTCCTCCTTCGGCTGCGCCTGCGGCTGATCCTCGGCGGGGAGTGTGGCCTTCGGGCGGGCAGAGCTCTGGCAGCTCTGGCCGCTCCGGGTCGCCGCAGTGGTGTTGCCCGCCATCGGTGCGACGACAGCCGCCCAACTCCGGGCCGCTATTGGGCTTGTCTCGTGATTGATCAGTCTCTTGAGGGTTTGAATGACATAGGCAGTGGCTTCTTTCGCGATCTGCTTTCTAGAACCGTCAAAGCTGGCGACAACGCTGTCGACGGACCGTGCAATGGTCAGAAAGACGTCTTTCCGTGCCTCGTACTGTCTAGCTTCTTCTGCAAGGGCTGTCAAGACGGACCCTGTGGCAGATCCGCTCGGAGCAGATGCGGTAGAGGCTGCGGGCCCCTCGGCCGAGGTAGGGGCGTCGGTGGTGGCATCAAGCTGGCTTCCCGTTAGGCTGGGCCGGGTCGGCTGTGCCTCGGCGTCGCGGCGTCGCTTAGCTCTTGAGGTGGGGTTCGGCTCCGGAGGTGTCCCGGAGCCTGGTTCGGGGTCGGCTTGGTCGGCCGACATCAGTCCGGTGCCCGACGGCGGCTGTGAGGCCATCGCGGATGCGGGCTCCGGCAAGGGGAGGTGAAGAGTTTTCGGCTGTTAGTAATTTGGTGGTAGGCTCACTCATTCACTAACAGCAGATGCCAAGAAAAATTAGGCGAGAGGGAAGTTGCTTATATAAGGATGTGAAGCATATTTAAAGATAAACTCACAAAATTAGACCTCTACGGTATGAGGACTGGGCAGTGTTTCCTGAAGTAGAGAAGAACAGCAGGTGCTTGAATTACTATTCCTGAAAACCATCTGAGACTGGAGAAAAGAACTTCGCGAGTATCCTTGCTCAAGTCGGTAGCGGTTAGTCGATTCCGAAGCACAACTGAGTAGACGTATGGAATGGGCCAGGCCCGAGAGGTCATGTGTTCCTCTTGTTACATTATTCTTTTGACAATCGACGACCATTGAAGGTGTGTATGCGGCAGGCTAGTGTCTGGAACACCACATCTCATTCCAACACACTATTTTGGCGACCAAAGAAAAAAAAAGGCGTGCATTCTGAGGCAACTCAAACGGCATTGAGTCCTGACCACCAACGAGACGACTCGTGCACCTTCCTTAATTATGAGCCTTAATTCGCGCCTCATCTCCAAACTTGCGACAAGAGCATTTCGATTGGCGGTGCATCAGCAGGCCCATACGAAAGCTTTTTATATCATCATCTCATTAATCATCTGCTATTCATTCAAGGTGCTGCCATTATACATGTATCAATCCATGTCTTAACCCTCTAGAAAACCATGCACAAGCGGCCCTTGAGCTGCTTAGACAAATAGTGTTCTGCCATCTCATTGGCCTGGTCAACACCGTACGTCTTCTCAACGTGCGTCTTGCAACCATTCTTTGCATGCAATTCCACCATCTCCCTGCTCCGTTCAGGGGTGCAAATCAACGCACCACGGACAGTCTGCTCCTTGAAATTCAGCGCAAAGGGGTCGACCTCAAAAGGCCCATCAGCAGGAAGACCGACATCGACCAGCACACCACCCTTGCGCAAGAATTGCTGTCCGAACCTGACGAGCGGTCGTGCCTCGGTCGTGATGACGACACGGTCAACGCCAGGGTTGGTATCATAGAATGAAGTCTGGAGCTCTTCGACGACCTTGTTCTGAGACTCCTCTGTGTCGATGAGGTATGTGCGATCGGGCTTGAGGTGTGAGGGCACATCGTTGGCTAGGTCGAGTCCTTCTTGTCTGTTGTCGATGACGATGACCTTGTATCCCAGCGCCTTGGCATATTGCACACCGAGGTGTCCCAGACCGCCGATGCCAACGATAGCAAGCCACTGATCCTTCTGGCCCTGCGCAGCACACAACGCGCCGTAGACCGTCGCACCAGCGCAGAACAAGGGCGCGGCCTCGGCCCAGGGGATAGACTCGGGAATTTTGGCGACGACACGGGCGTCGGCTTTCATGTACTGAGCGAACCCGCCGTCCAGGGTAAGTCCCAGCATGCCGACGAGGTTATCGCAGACCTGTTTCCCTTGGTTGCACGAGTTGCATTCGCCGCAGCAGCCATAGGTGTTGATAGAGCCGACGCGGTCACCGACTTGAAGACCCTGCTTGCCTGCTTCGGAACCGAGCTTGATGATTGTGCCGGCGGGCTCGTGGGAGCCGACAAGACCTGGCTTTGCGCCGGCGGAGGCGTAGACGCCCTGTTGGACTTGGAGATCCGTGTGGCAGTAGCCTGCGGCGGCGATCTTGACAAGGACGTCATTTGGGCCGAGATCGGTTGGGACTTTTACGTCTTTTACCTCATAGCCTTTGTTGAAGTCTTTGATTGTCGCGGCGCGCATTTGTTCGGGGATCTGGTCTGCCATCTTGGAAGGAGGTTGAACAGAAGTAGCGATGTCGAAATGTTGTCGTTGCTCAGGATTGGGTATGTTTGGCTCAATGCAATTTGAGATTAGGCGAAGTGGAATCTGATAGGATGCCTTGATAATTAGTTCATAAGAACTTCTTTGTCTTTAATGTCTTTCCATACTTACTTATAGGCAGGCGAGACAGCCAGTCGGCGGCCGATTTTGTTTTTCAAACGTCATAACGGACGCTCATCAAATGTGACGAGGGACGCAATATCAGCGTCACAAGGTCCAATGATAGTTACGTTAAGTGGAATGGTTTAATGGACTTTGCCGCCTCATAGTGTCATAAAAGTGGCCCATTTAGAAACACTGGTCCGAGACCATCTAACCGTTATCAACACCCACATTATTCATCAGATGAGCTTTCGGGAAAATGTGTAGTATCGCGGACGCTTTCTGCTTCTCTGCCATGCAACTAAAACCTCAACAGTTGTGAACAATATGCAATCCTAGAATTCGTTTTTCCTACACTTATAGCATCGATGATAACTTCAAGCTTATGATTACTAATGATAAACTAGTGAGGGGAAGTGTGTCTAGATTAGCTCACAAACATGAGAAGTCGATGCCCCGTTACTATATGCAAGCTCGCGTTGGGAGGTTGGCCGATTACTATTGTCCCAAGTACGGTGATGTAACCTTGAAATCATCACAGCGGTTTTTTCTGGTGAGAGCGCATCGGCGATTTACATTCTCGGTGACATCGGTGTAAGGCAAGCTATATGTGTGGGCATAACTCCACCGAGGCCCACCGTGCCGAGCGGGATCCTGAGATGCATCCGCCATCGAGATCGCGCTGGGTACAGACCCAGCTGAGCGGCTTTGTCTCAAGACTTGTGTCAACATCATACACGTTCTGATAAGAATGCTGAGGGTGCAGTTTATTGAGAGTCTATCTTTCGGATTCTACGTTGCTTTCACTAATACTCCATCATGACCAGGTGCATCTCGTCTTAATGTTGGGCTGACCTGCTGCGCCTAGGGTTGGGTGGTAGACCTTCTTGGTGTCCGCAGTAACGGGATCCACCACCTGGCACTGGTCGTCCTCGTCGTAGTAGCTCCCCTTTAACTCTGTCTCACAGATTCTCTGCCTCCAGTTGCGCAGGCTGTCGTTGTACGCGGCAGGTGGTGCCGGTGAACAGCTGGCGTGGAAGACGGTGATATATTCGGCCACGACTGCGCTAGACAGGGCGAGCAGGAGGGTTGCTGTGTTGAAATGCACTGTGGAATGTTAGAAATTCAAGTCCAGTCTTTGAATATGGAGAGAATGTTTGACTGACTGGTGAAGTAGGGTTTGTTATGACGAGCGACTGAGTCGATGTTGTTTGCTTCAATCGCCTTGAACGAAATGTGACCCCAACGTCAAATATGCATTGAAAGACCGGTTTGGGGTGGGCTTAAGTATTCGGGATCCAGCACGAAAACGCGGCATTGAATACTATTACTGTTTGAAGTTCAATTAAATTGAAGGAAACTTTAAGAAACACCTAGGAGTTGAAAGTCGAATGTCGCATTCGCTTTTCCCCTGTTTGAAGTGCTAAGCTTTGTACTAAGTGGGCTGCAAGAGCAAGCCTCGCCCGCTCGTTCCGATCACACAGACCACAACGACATCGCCGAGGTAATGAAAATATGGTTTCGTCGTTGGATAAGTTCTTCAAATCCAAAAGGCGAATTGTGTACTGCCTGGACTTTTGCACTTACTACTTAATCAATTCATTGTGTTTTACCAACTCCAAGCTGGTCACGTCTGATGACTCGTTCCCAGGATTATCT